CCCGGCGCTACAGCAGGTTGCCACTGAAGACAACGCCAGCACTCTCCGTTGACCTCCGCCTCCGGCGTCGCCCCACCGCCAATGTTCCCATCGGCCGCGCCGGCACACCTTCTCCTGACGCTCGTCACTGACTGACCGCCACTGACGCTTCCATCTGACGTCAGCGTCCAGTCCAGCGCCTACGGCCTCCGCGGTATCCCTTCAAGCATCTTCTACGGCATCTCCTCTGGCAGTCTCTCCGGCTGCCACCCCAGCGGTCTCCCGGCTGCTTCTCCGGCATCTTCTCCAACATCTTTTCCGGCAGTTTCTCCGGCAGTCTCTCCGGCAGCGCTTCCCACATCGGCACCCTCCAACGCCGCCGCCGGAGTCCCGCCTGCCCATGCGCAGGCTGCGCAGTCGACACACGGCGCACCGCCGCTCGGTCTGCGCCACAGGCGGCGCCACCGTCGCCGAGTCGCGCCTCCCGCCGTCCGCCGCGCCTGTAGCCGTGCCGCTTTCGGGGCGGGAGCAGACCGCGCTGCCGCGACGCGCAGGCGCGTTCGTCGTCGCTGCTGTCTGAGGTGGGGGGCTGCTGGACGGTGGCGCTCTCGCGGAAGGAGACGCGTCTCTGCGTGATGTCAGCGCCGCGCAGGCTCGAGCGTCGCGAGCCGGGCGGTGAGATGATGCCGCCAGAGGGCGAGCTCGCGAGTGGCGGAGAGCCGGGAGGGTAGGCTGCGGCACTCGGTTGTGGGATTCGCGAGATGGTCTGATCGTGGGGGTGTCAGGTCTTTTAAGCCTCGCCGCGGTGGAGGACCGATGTACCTTGGCAGCGCTCCGGCGGAGCCTGCCGAACCGGACGCGGCCACCGCGTCACGACTGGCCCCGACCCCTTCGACGGCGTCTTATCATGCAGGTCCGGCCCGGTCGGCCTCGCTTCGGTAGCACGGTCTGATTCAACTGACGATGCTTCAGAGGAAGCTGTGAACTCACTGGATTGAGTTCTTGCAGGTCTTTGAGGTGCTTCAGATGGCCCTGAACTGGTGTCGGAGGTTTGCCCAATTTCTGCAGGCTCACCTTCCACCACTCCGCTCTCCTTCTGAGTGAGCGCGTCCGGTTGGCTCACAGCGCCTTTTGACGTTGACGTCCTTCCCACCGGTGGTTGGCTTTCCTGGCCAGGCACATCTCCTTCTGCGGGACCTCCCACTGACCCACCAGCAAGCCCACCTGGTGTTGTCTCCTCACTGATGGAGCCCGGACTCGACTGGCGGCGGCGGCGCTCAGTCGCCCGCTCCTCTCTGTCGATCGGGCGCACGCTGCCCTCGCTCTTGGCGTACGCCGTCCCGCCGCTGTGAGGGAGGGTCGACCCCGGTGGAGCCCAGGACGATTCAGCCCGGTCATCGGCCACGGCCGACCGATCCAGTGGCGTCATCTGTCCGCGGGCGGAGACCGGGCTCACCGGGTCAGGTCCCAGATTTGGGTCTACCGAGGGCCGGCGGGCAGACCCTGGCCTCACCGGGTCAGGTCCCAGGCCCGGCTTCACCGAAGGCCGGCGGGCAGACCCTGGCCTCACCGGGTCATGTCCCAGGTCCGGCTCCGCCGAGGGCCGGCGAGCGGACCCTGGCCTCGCCGGGTCAGGTCCCAGGTCCGGCTCCGCCGAGGGCCGGCGAGCGGACCCTGGCCTCACCGGGTCAGGTCCAGGTCCGGCTTCACCGAAGGCCGGCGGGCAGACCCTGGCCTCACCGGGTCATGTCCCAGGTCCGGCTCCGCCGAGGGCCGGCGAGCGGACCCTGGCCTCACCGAGTCAGGTCCCAGGTCCGGCTCCGCCGAGGGCCGGCGAGCGGACCCTGGCCTCACCGGGTCAGGTCCCAGGTCTGGCTTCACCCGAAGGCCGGCGGGCAGACCCCTGGACCTCACTGGGTCAGGTCCCAGGTCCGGCTCCGTCGAGGGTCGACGGGCAGAGCTTCGGCCTGGGCTCCGAGTCCGGTCCAACGTCCGGCTCCGTCGAAAGTCGACGAGGGCTGTAGACTGTGGATCGCCGCACCCAGAACCTCGGCCCCCGAGCGGGCTTGCCACCGGCCGAGGGGGCGCCTGACCGTGATGTCAGCGTCGTCCGGCATTGCGAGCCGGGCATCACCCCGGCTGCCCACGGGTTCCGACGTCCTGGTCACGCCCAGCACGGGCCCCGTCGCGACGCCGTTCAGCGCGCCGCCGAGGCGATCTCTTCGTTCGCCGCCGCCGCCGTCGCCGCTGGCGCGAAGCCGTCCCTCACAAAACCTCCGCTCTCACTTCGGAATCCGACCTCATGGTGCGGCAGTCCGGCGGCGGGCAGCGACGAGCTGGAGTGCGGCACCCGGCCTCGCGCCGTCACCGGCCGCGGGGGCCGGGGCGCCGCGGCGCTCCTGGCGCCTCGCCGTGTCTCCCGCGCCGGACGGCTGCTCCCGGGAGTCCGATCGTGTCGCATCTGGTTCGCGCCTGCGACGAAGGGCGGCGCGCTGTTCCGCTGTAGGCGGCCGCGTTGGTGAGACAGCTGCCGGTCTCGGATGACCCCGGGAAACGTGGTTCATCCGGCTGGCTTGCGACGTGACGAAGCACCGCCTGACTGTCGGACGCCTTCTGTGCGGGGACAAACGTCGTCAGCGGAAGGGCTCGCATCCTCCACGGGGACGTGGTATATCTGGTTACTGATGATTTCGTCCACGAGTCTCTGTCGGTCTCGCTCCATCATTCTTCTTTCGCTGTCAAACACGGCACGCATTTCATCGACCTTCCTCTTCTCGAACTCCTCGTTCTCCACCACCTCCTCCTGCTTCTCCTCCAGCTGATGCGCCTCCTCCTTGATGCGCGTGTCTTCTACCGCCTGCCGCTCCATCCTCTCCCGGAGGAACCGCCACTCTTGTTCCAGTCGCCTCTTCTCTTCTTCAATCCTCAGACATTCCTCCTCAATTGCCGTATTGATCAGACTCTCCTCGCGCATGCGCAGCTCGTTTTGCTGCAGTATGAACAGGCCCTCGGTGTCCCACCACTCCTCCAGCTCCTCCAGGCGCCACCGTTTCTCCTGCAGCTGCGCTTTGTCCTCCTCCAGTTTCTCACTCTCTTCCTCCAGCCGCTGCCACTGTTCTTCGATCAGCCTGCGCTCGCTCACACTTCGCGCTCCCTTCCCCCGCTTACGGCGCGGTGAGCGGCGTCTTTTCTTGCGTCGGCGGCCGCCCCGCACGCGCCGCGGCGCCTTCGCCTCCTCCAGCTGCTCCAGCGCCGGCGGGGGGACACTGGCGAGCGCGAAGTTTGCGTAGACGTCAGTCGCGGCGCTGATGCTGCCCTTGCGAGCATCATGAACACTGATGCCCTGACCACGCAGCGTGAACTGCGGCTCGATGAAGCAGTGGTGGAGGGTGACGCGCCTGCCGAACTGGTCGCGCGTGTCGCTGCGGCACTTCTCCATGTCGAACGGCGCGCTGCGCGGCGGCCGCCGGCCGGGAGAGGTCGCCGACCGCCGCGGACTACGCTGCCGGCGCGGCGAGCTGCCGGACCGTCGCGTGGAGGAGCGGCGGCCCTTCGCGCCGCTGCTAGACGCCGACACGAGTGTCGAGCGCCTGCCGTACTGCGGGCTGCTGTCGCGCGACCAGTGCGCCTCGCCCGGCGCCGGCCGCGGCGTCTGCTCGTACAATGTGGCGTCCCAGTCCTTGTAGAGATAGGAGGAGGAGCGGCGAGACTCCGGCGCCGGCGTCGACGCCGCCAGGATGTGCGGCGCACCGGAGGAGATGGACGGCCGCGAGCCTCCGCTGTCGGGGGATCCGGCGCGTTCGGCCTCAGGTGCGAAAGGCATAGCGGAGGGCGTGAAGACACCGGATTCTCCGACTGGCACGTGAGAGCCGTCGTTGGGAGCGGTCGTGGCGGCTGAAGGCGATGAACCGGAGCCGATGGTGCCGCCCACCCCGCCATCAGTCATCGCGATCTCTTCAGATGACGCCTCCTCCGTCTCCTCCTTCACTCCCCCCACGCTCTCGCCGGTAGCCCTGCTTCCGCTTGCGACGCCGGCGGCCGTAACACCCTGCCGCGACCGGATCGCCCCGGTGGACGACAGCAGCGTTGGCTTGGTGCCGCCGGACGGCACCGGCGTGACGCTGCGCCGGCTACCGGACGGCGCGCCCTGCACACCGCCGGTCTGCGACAGCATCGCCTGCAGGCTCTTCTGCACGGTGGCGCTGCCAGCGAGCATTGCTTGCAGGCTCTCTCGGGCGGGGCCGCCGAGCGCCGAGATGCGACTTGCGAGGCCAGAGGCGACCGTGCCGGCGGGCACGGCGCTGGTCGACCTCCCCGACGCCGTCGGCGCCAGAGGAGGCGCCGTCGACGACGACGAGACGCCGCTGCCGACGCGTCCGCTGGAGGAGACGGAGGGCCGCCGGTCGCCTTTGGGGACGGCGGCGGTGGCCTGCGAGGAGGAGGGTGTCGCTCCATTGAGGGAGGAGATCGCACCGGTGGAGGAGGTGGTCGCGCCGGTGAAGGAGGGGGTTGCGCCGGTGGAGGAAGTGGTCGCACCAGTGGAGGAAGGGGTCGCGCCAGTGGAGGAAGGGGTCGCGCCGGTGGAGGAGGGGATCGCACCGGTGGAGGAGGGGGTCGCGCCGGTGGAGGGAGGGGTCGCGCCGGTGGAAGAAGGGGTCGCACCGGTGGGGGAAGGGGTCGCGCCGGTGGAAGAACGGGTCGCGCCGGTGGAAGAAGGGGTCGCGCCGGTGGAGGAGAGGGTCGTGCCAGTGGAGGATGAGGCGGCGCCCTGGGCAGCGCCACTGACAGAGGCGGCGGACGCTCGGTGTCGGGACTGAGATGGAGAAGAGACGGGACTTTGATGGGAGGACCCGCTGGTTGTTCCTGGTGCGGGGGGCTCTGGGTCAGGGGCGGTTCCAGACTGAGACGGCTCGGGTTGGGACGTGGTTCCAGAAGCTGTTGCTTGCGGCACAGACTTACTGCCGGATGGAGACACCTGTGCCACGGACTCGTTCACAGATGGCGTTACTTGTACACCTGATTTGTTCGCAGATGTCGTTACCTGCACGCCTGCTTTGGTTGCAGATGAAGCTACGTGTGCCCCAGACATTGCTCCAGATGGAGTTGCCTGCGCCCCAGGCATTGTCCCAGATAAAACTACCTGAGGCCCAGACTTTGTCACAGATGGAGTAGCCTGTGCCCCAGGCTTCGTCCCTGATTGAGTCGCTTGGGCCGAGGAAGACAAACCCACGGCTTGTTGCGACCCACCACCTGAGAGCTGGCTGGCGGAACCCGCTGAATCCGTCCGTGACGCACTATCTGCCGCGGGAGCGGAACTAGTGGCAGACGATGCGGAAACCTTGGTGCTGGAGCCGGCTGATGTCGCGCCTGAAGCTGAGGGCCGAACCGACTGTCGGCGGATGCTTCCCGAGCTCTTGGCGGCCGCTGACGCCGAGGAAGGCGTGCTGCCCGTTAAAGGGTCGGACGGGGACATTGTCGGCGCTATGGTCTGCGAGGCTCCAGCCTGCACGGTTGGTACGGAGCTGGACGCACGTTTCGTTATCGAGCTCGTTGATTTTATCGCGGCCGTCTTAGATTGTTCTTTTTGTAGCGAGCCCTGCGATGCTTTCTGTGACGATTGTGGCATGTCACTCTGTGGTGTTTGCGATGGTTTCGCATCAATCGATTGAGCTGATCGCCTGTCAAGCGTTGCTGACGACACTTTCTGCGCTGTTTGAGATGCAACTTCGTTTGCCGTTTGTGAATGCTGCTTTTGCGCACCATCTCCCGATATATCTCCAAATGTTGGTGTACCTTCCTCAGACGTTTGCTCTTTGCCTGCCGTGAGCACCTGTGAAGATTTTCCATGTGTCGATGAAGCACTGGTTTCAGGCTTCTCCTGCTTAGTAGAAATAGCTTGCTGACTGCCATTTGATATTTTGTCTCCGCTGTCTGCTCCGGGTGTAACGCTTGCTTGTGAGGAGATCTTTGATTGGGAGGTCTTTTCCTTGGAGGCAGCATTGCTCGGGGAGAATTTTATAGACGAAGCTGAAGATACCTGCTGTTGGCTTCCAGATTCAGCCATGCTATTTTTTAAACTTAATTGCTACATCTTGTGATATTTTTTCGTCTTGTTTTGAAAACATGCACCACTTACCAAAACCAAATGTTAAGAACTTGAAAAACAAGCACTCCAGAAGCAAATGATGCGAACTATTTAAGTTTCAATGTACAAGATGATTTAGTCGCACCTACCTGTGCATTTTCTAATTAATATTTTACACGCACGATTTTCTCCCCAATAAACTCCGGATTAACTCAGCATTCGCCGCAGGCACATGTCTGGAGAAAACCTATGAGTGCACACGCCATGAACCACGAAGATCTCTTACCAAAAGAAACTTAACCGTTTAAAAATCTCAAAATTTACACGAATGGACTAAATAGATTTATAAACGTTCATAAGCAATGTTTACCCCACATTAAAGGGAATGTTTCACTTTTAAACATGGTGAAGCAAACATCACATATGATGGAACAAGCTCACTTATAAGTATTGGTATACTTCCAAGTACAAAAGACAATACAATGTTCTAGACAATCCAATTTCGCTGTTTTCTAAATATGGTCCTCGATACGTCGCTGCTTGATTACATCATCGTTCCCTGCACAACATTGATTGAAAGCCTAGTGACGGTCGTTATATCTAGGAATCGTGCTCATGAACGTTAGACATGAATGACTCGATCATTATATTTTTCTTGGCCTTCATTACCACATGGCTTATGGAATGGCAGGATTTGAATGGCGTTATTATGACGTCATAAATGCTAAGGCGAGCTTGAGATACCCTCGCCGAAATAGTCTCACCGTCTTCGCTGGCGTATAGCTCAGAAGCAAGAGGGGTTTGGGTCTTAAGGGCATGGCTGAAAGCTACACTAAATGATCTTCAGGATGTCTGTTTCAGTTCAAAATTCCAAAGAAATGTGTAACACTCTCTTTAAGGGAACGTATGCCATTTACAAATCAGTGCCATGCCTGCGTCTTTATAAGTATTCATTGCAATATGGGGAGAAGTAGTGCCGTGTCCTACGCACAAAACTGTCCGCCAACCACAGAAATGAAAGTGGTGCGCAACCAGTCCTCTGTTTCTCAGCTGCTTATCAATATGCAGTCATATAAACCTCTCCACAACGGTAATATCGTATGGGGATAACGCGCAGAAATGTCTATGGTGATAGAAATAGTTACCAATTGCAGTGACGTTTGGTAAAGGGGGCAGCTCGAGAACTCTTCTTGTGCCCACTTACGCGAACTCACCTTGAGTTGCTCCGCAGCCTATTGTTAAATCCTCGGATTTCTTTTGCTTGTCAAGTCACTCTTTGCCTTGATCATGCTATTTCTATATGACACAGGTCAATAAACTACATTTAACTCGATGCACTGGTAATAGTTCTTTCATGAAATGGACATACCAGCAGTTTAACATTTGAAAAACTCTTGGGCCGCTGCAAATTTATGAGAGCGCGAGCGGCGCATGTGCACAGAGGGTTCAGTTTTTTTTTCTCAATTGGACATCACCAGGTAATCTGTTATCAGCACTGACGGTTCTGGTTGGGTAGCTCCTCGTCAAATGCGACTCTTCCTTCATGGCCCAATTTTGAAAACGTCAAAGATAAAACGACTTCGATGCTTTTATTCTCTTTAACTTGGTGTTCAAGGTCGCTGCAACAATGAGGGTCACCGTGTTTTAGAAGCGCCATCTCCCATCATGCTCATGCAGCCATTGCCCGCCCACCAAAGAGATGAATCTCCGATTTTTAATGCCTCCCAATCATCGCCAAATGGGCGAAATCGGCGCGCAGCGAATGAGTCCGCAGATCCTTCCGAACGAGTGAAATGAATGAGCGATCTGTCCCAGAGCACCGGCGTCACACATCCCGTGACGCATCACCACATCACGCCAGCCGCGTTAGCTCACACTCCAGCCTCGCACGACCGGACAGGCTAGACCATTACCCCAGCACATCACCACCACCACCCATCCGCCGTCACGTGGGACCGCCGCTCGTCACCGGGCGCCGCACATCCGTCCGCCCGCCTTTCGCACAGCCGCACATCCGTCCGCCCGCCTTTCGCACAGCCGGCGACCCGCCCGCCACCGGGCGGCGACGCTGGCGGCCCCGCGCGCCGGCGTGCCGCGGGCGCTTCTTTGGCGGCCGTCAGTCGTGGCGCGTCCGGCACGGGCGGCGCGGCGACTTTCACTGCGTCTGCCCGGCATCTGCCGGCGCCGGCGGCCGGCGCGGCGCGCGGCGAGCCGTCTGGCGGCCTGTTGACTGACGCGCCGACCCGCAGCTGCCGCGGCGCCGGCGGAACGCGCTGCGGTCTGGTCTGACTGTGGTCTGGTCTGTCTGGTTGCGGTCTAGTCTGGCTGCGGTCTGGTATGCCTGGCGGCCGTCTGCCCTGCCTCTGGTTTGTTCCACCTCCGGTCTGGTCTGCCTGGCTCAGGTCTGGTCTGCCTGGCTCCGGTCTGGTCTGTCTGGCTCCGGTTCGGTCTGTCTGGCTCCGGTCTGGTCTGTCTGGCTCCGGTCTGGTCTGTGGGGCTTTGATCTGTTTGGTCTCCGGTCTGGTGTGTAGTTGTTTTTAAAACTGGACTGCTTCCGTCATGAAGTAGTGCGTTTGGGGTATTCTCGAAGTGTGGGAGATGCACACGCTTCGTTTGGCCAGAACCCGCGTGATGGTGTCACTTGATGACGCCATCACTACCTACCGGAGACGCGCTTGGACCCATTCAACCTAACTCACTCACAAACAGACAGAATCTTCCCGAGACATCCTACCATGACGCGTTCGGCAGCTGCTCCCGTGCCTCTCGTGTCCCACTCCTCGCGCGCTGGCCGTTCGTGAAGTGTGCGTCTGTGACTGGTGTCTGCTCCCGCCGGTCTGCGCCAGCGCCCGCTGCGCTAGCCGCTAGTGTTTCGCCGGCATTGCCCCGCGAGCAGTCTGAGCGGCTGCAGGGGTCGCACCGGTGAAAACCGGATTCAAAAGACTTCTCCCGTCGTGTCTTACGCATTCCTGCTTAGCCGTCGTATGTGATCCTAAAACATTCTTCGCGAAGCGCCGAGTGGAAGGCACCATCTGAAAGGCCTGAGGACCGAGCACCGCTGAAGAAGCGCGGGCAGCGCGGTGCCGCTGGCAGCGTGCGAAATCGCGGAATGGGGGGGGGGGGGGGGCGAATCGCCAGGTGACATTGATGGCGAAGCGCAGATGGTCGGCGCCAATCGCAAACAGCTGTGGCCAGGCTTGCAGCGGGTGAGGCATATGGTGACATTTGTGACGCGCTTGTTACAGTCAGACGCGGCGCAGTGTGTCGCCTCATACCGCGCCACGGCGTGAAGCGGCGGCGGCCAAAAACATGACTTCAACCCCAGTGCTCCTCCGAGCCCCCTCCCCCTCCCCGCCACATACTTACGATGCATGTGGAAAATGAATAAGGAAGGATGAGGCAAAGAAATAAAAAAAATATCATCGCTGAACTGTTACACTTGCACTGGTGTTACACCTTTACTTTACTACTGGTGTTACACCTTTACTTTACTACTGGTGTTACACCTTTCCACGTAATCCTACCCGACTTGCAACTTAATCTGCGCAGCAGCTTCGGCGCTTTCTTGATGCGTGGCTAACATCCAGCCGGTCAGAAACACTGGAACACTCCAAACAGTTTTGGTGTCCACTTTTTACACGGACACCTACCACCGATGGCGCTGACCAACCAGAGCTGTCTGCTTCCAATGCGCGTGCGTCGGCTGGTGGGGTTGCGGATCGCGCACAAATTTTTCAGTGCCCGGAATTTCCGCGATGGAAGCGGCCATGAGTGTCCACGTGACAGGGCACGAGGTGCGGGACTCTGGACTGGTTTTTCAAGCTGGAGCCGGCGCAAGGTTTGTATGCTTATTTAGCGTTATGGGAAAAAATTGCTGGCGTGGTGCCAAGAAGCCACACGCAGACGCTGAGGCCGCTTCACAAATTCGTGTCGGTGAGAGATGCTTCGTGCCGTATTGCGTCATGCGCGTGTTTGAAGGAACAGCACTGGCCGGGCGAGCAAGAGTTTAAAGGCAGTTTTAAACAATAGCCGTCCTCGATTTAGTGCTCAGATGTGTCCGTCCGAAACTCTATGCCAAACTTGGGTTAATGAGCTGTTGGCAGTCGGATATGGCCTTTTCGATGATAGATTTTAGTGGATGATAAGAATAGGTGGTGGTCGATCTTAATAATTTGCTAATGAACTCCGAAGACCACTTTTCGAAATTCGGGGTGCGAGAGCGATTGCTATGAGATGGCTCCGGTGTAACAGGCACATATTTAAATGGCTTATGAGATGCATTGTGGTTAATGCTTTTTGTTTGAAGGAACACGTGTTTCCAGGGGAGCAAGAATTTAAAAGCGAGATTATGCAATGAATCAAACCATTCAAGAGTAAGTGGTGGCCGCCCTTGATTCCATGTTAAATTTGGGCTACCAAACATCTGCAGTGCAAGAGTCATGCATCCGCTCACGGAGTTGGTATTCTGTGGATAAAAGTGCTGAAACTTGCTTTACATGTTGCTAAATGTGGCATTCTTCACATTCCGAACAATGCCCATTTTCAAAAGGACACTTCGAACTCATGGCAAAGCGTTGTCCGCGCTTTTTCACAACCGCTACTTTGGTCACCTGCCATCGCCCCCTATGCTCCATGGTCACCTGCCATCGCCCCTCCGTGCTCCATGGTCACCTGCCATCGCCCCTCCGTGCTCCAGGCTCCAACACTCCCGTTGAGAGGGTCGTGGAAGTTAAGTTCTACTCCGCGAGATAGATGCGTACCTCCAATCAGTGCACACCAGACATATTCCATATTTTCTCGTCTGCACGCGCCAAACCACGCCGCTTTGAATAAGTCGTCTTTTTGCGTGTCGCACCACATTCGACAAGCGACAAAGGAGACCCCCTATCGCTGTATGTTCTACGGTTATGGCTAGTGCGGTCATTCGTGCGTAAAGCGCAGACGACAGGATTACCGGGCCAGCGTAATTGACCATAAAGACGACAGCATCACCGAGCCAGCACTATTGATGATAAAGACGACATCATCATTGATCATAGGCCGTACTACACCATTCCACTGGCGTTGGATCAGTGCACCCGCACCGCTGACTTTCGTCATGTCCATCTAGCAATGCAATCTGAGCGTGCGAGGCGTGTGCAGCTGCATTTTCAGCCTTTCGCAGCGTGCGGTTGCACCCGTTTTCCGCCACCGACCCGAGGTGACTTGCAATATGGCCAATCCCTCGTCCGGAAACGGTTGACAATTGCAGTCTGCTGTTTTGGGCGCCGAACTCGAATGTGGAGGTTGCGGCATCGATGCGTGTCGTCACGTTGCACTCGTGTTGTGTGACAGGCCTTTTTTTGTTCGCAGCTGTGTCCTGTTGGTGACGAAGACAGCGGGCAGCTCATGTTGATGCGATGAGCAGCCGCCGCCTTTATTTCGCCCATGAATGACTGCACTGACGTTTCTCGTAGAACCCGTTTTGGAGCTTTAAGAACGTTAAATGAGTGCATAAATGTGCTAGAAAGCCCTGCCATTTCTTCTGGGAAACAGCCCTGTAGTTGTACCGCTGTTGCAGACCTCGGTTGCAGCCCTTTCCTGTCAGCTTGTCGATGTAATGATACAATATTTATGACTTATGCACCTGAACAACATCAACCACACTCCCAAGCGTAGTGCATTTGACTAGCGCGATCGTCCACGACTGTGTGTGGACAGAAGTGTGTTCAAGCCTGACAGACGGCTGAAGTGTTTCGTTGTCTCGTTGTCCCTATGACAGTCGGCAGGGCCCGCGGGAAGCCGAGCCGACCTCTCAATCGTCCAGTAGTCAGACGTGCTGTTGCATCCCTTTGCTGCATTGTACGCCGAACAGTTATGTAGACGCTAGGTGCCGTTGATACACGCACGGGTCCATGGGCGAGGTTGTGGTTTTCTACGCCTTTGTGGGAGTCCTGACGCCCACAAAGTTAAAAGGGACACTCTTACGCGCACAACCTATCTTGTGATGCACAAGCACCATCTGCAGTGTGTCCATTAGAGATGCACCCCTTATTTCTTTCTAAGAGAATGGCCTTGTGCGAGTGAATGTATCCAAATGCCATCATGCCGTAAGTGCACCAGGCCGGCCTTCGCCATCCGTCACTATTTAGTATGAAATCCATGCAAAAATCAGCGGATTTCGCGGGCGGAAAGCCCACCAAGCTATAAACAAACGGCATTGCTGGGTGGAAAGGCCGCGTAAACTCTCGGCTCAGTGCTCAGAGCCGAGCCCAGGGACGGAGCTCATACTTCAGTTATCTGCGTGCATTTGGGCACCAAAATCGTTGATAGGAAACCGCACATGTGTCCAAGGGACAACCAGGGCATGAGGTTCCTCGACGGTGGAAGTGAAGCACATTTAAATGTGGACTTAGTTTATGCTTTTTTGCACGTCTCACCCAACTTCAGTATTGCACCGGTCCTTGAGTTCGTAACAGCATAGCCGTTTCATCTCCGCAGTGGGCGGACTCGTAATGTGAACTGCATTACTTTGCAAGACATGGGCGCAGATTCGCAGAGCGCGGCGTTAGCGAGGTAACAACTCCTACACCAACTTTTGCTGAAACTGCCATGCCTTTAGCGTGACAGGTATGGGAGCGACCGTGGAAACTTTTATCAACTGTCGGCTCTGTTTGATTTCCTTTGAAAGATGAATACCTCGGCAGCTTTGAGACACAGACTTTTCTCGGCATTCTCCGCCTGCATGCACATGACAGCCGACACCAGTATGCTCTGTGGTAGACTGAACCCGCCGACACCGTCTCTAACGGTCCGGAGACCATTGTGCAGAGATCTAATTTTCCAGAGACTGCTGAAGCGGGGTGGGCCAGGGCATCAGCCAATCTCCACCGACCACGGACGCTTGGGCTCCCGCGCAGGTCACCGTCCTTCGAATGTCAGTCGAACGGGACACATATTAAAACATGCAAATCCCTCAAACCGAATCCTGATTGTCGCCCTCCATCCTTGACCCGCGAATAAACGAAAAGCAAAAGAAGCGCCGTCCCACCGAGCTATCGCCGCGGGGTGCGGGTGTGAGAGGGACGGGCTGGGTAGCCCCCCCAGCAGCCTCCTCGCCGCGCTTTACCCGCGGGCTCGGCTCCTTTCCGCTGGTCGGCTCGCCCGGCCCGACACAGAGTTATTCTCGTCCCGTATTCTCCCGCGACAATCAACGTCCGCGGCAGCGCGCCGGGCCGCAGCCTCCGATGACGTCACACAGGCGCTGACGTCACACGTGCGCCGACGTCACGGCCTGGCGTGGGCGCCGACGGCGGCGGTCGTCTGCCGCCCCGGCGGCCCGCCGCCCACCGTCGGCCCACCTGATCCCCACTGGCGGGTCCGGCGGAGGGGGAGAGGGGGGGGGGGGCTGGACGGCTGTGTGATCCCCGCGCAGAGTGCCTGGGCTCGCCTCTGCCCGGTGACCCCATCTGCCCTGCGGCCAAGCCGAGCGGCCACTGTCAGACAATGTGTTATGCGACCGTCTACCGGGGTGCGCTATATGGAAGGCTGCTTTCCGGCGGCCGACACACCTCTCAGGCCCACGTCTTAGGCATAACCCCTGTGAGGGGAGATACTCCCAATTTTACAAACCGTGATCTTGCTTCCCTCAATTTTGCTCACATAGTTTCTATTTTTACGCTTTCTCATTGAAAAGGTCATTTTCAGATCAAGTTGTCACCTCCAGATCCTAGTCTAACCCCTCCGATGCTGATCCCCACCCCCCGTCGCAAATACGTGGTTACACCCAGATTCTAACGGCGCCCCTTCAGTGGATCACACACCCACACCCACCGCCCGCCCACCCACAACCCACACCCAACCACCCCACGTCTCTCCTCTCTCTCTCCTCTCTCTCTCTCTCTCTCTCTCCTCTTCTCTATCTATCTCTCTTCTCGCTATCTCGCTCTCCTCTCCTTCTCTGATCTCCTCTTCTCCTCTCTCTCTCTCTCTCTCTCTACTCTCTTTCTATTCTCATGCATCATATCATCACTCTTCTATCTCCATCACTCTCTCTTCTCTCTCTGTCTCTGACTTCTGTATCTATCTACTTCTCCCTCTCGATCTCTCTCTCTCTCTCTCTCTCTCTCTCTCTCTCTCTCCTCTCTCCTCTTCTCTCTCTCTATCTATCTCTCCTCTCTCCTCTCTCTCCTCTCCTGACAGGTTTGCAGGTTTTTAACGACAATAGTAGACATTTCACGTCGTTTGGCGTTGCGGTCTCTCACGCCGGTCGCAACGGGAACGACGTGAAACTCTCCGCCGGGAGCCAGAGTTTCCGCCCGCAGAGGCTCTCAGCTCGTGGCTCGGCAGAAGGTCCAGAGTTTTCCGCCCGACAGAGGCTTCAGCCCAGGTTCCGGCAGAAGGTCGGAGAGTTTCCGACAGCAGAGGCTCAAGCAAATTCAGCCCCATGGCCTCAGCAGAAGGTCCAGAGTTTCCGCCCGCAGAGGCTCTCAGCTCGTGGCTCGGCAGAAGGTCCAGAGTTTCCGCCCGCAGAGGCTCTCAGCCCATGGCTCGGCAGAAGGTCCAGAGTTTCCGCCCGCAGAGGCTCTCAGCCCATGGCTCGGCAGAAGGTCCAGAGTTTCCACCCACAGAGGCTCTCAGCCCATGGCCCGGCAGAAGGTCCAGAGTTTCCGCCCGCAGAGGCTCTCAGCCCATGGCTCGGCAGAAGGTCCAGAGTTTCCGTCCGCAGAGGCTCTCAGCCCATGGCCCGGCAGAAGGTCCAGAGTTTCGCCCGCAGAGGCTCTCAGCCCATGGCCCGGCAGAAGGTCCAGAGTTTCCGCCCGCAGAGGCTCTCAGCCCATGGCTCGGCAGAAGGTCCAGAGTTTCTGTCCGCAGAGGCTCTCAGCCCATGGCCCGGCAGTTCACTACGTGGACGCCTGTCCACGTTGAGCCAAACCATCTCGCGCGTCGTATTTAGTGAGAGCTTGGTGCCCAAACTCTCCGCGTAAGATCGGGCTTTGCCTGTCCCCTCCCCCCCTCCCTTACCCCCATATGGCGGGTGCGCCTTACCGCTTCCGTCGGTATCGATCCGCCGTGTGACGTCACATATGCGTCGGTGACGCGCAGTCGGTGGGGGCGGAACTTTCCGGATGCGACTGGTGGCCTTGGGGGCGGGGGGAGGGGCAGGGCGAGCTTTCCGGACCGTCTGGCGGTGGCGGCTGCGGGGTTGGCGGTCGAGCTGGCTGCCCTAAGGCCTCCCTCCAAGTTGGGGCCTCCCCAGCTGCCCGAACCGCTGCCCGCTGCCAGCCAAGAGCCCCGCGGCCCGCTGGCCTTGTCCAGTTGGCTGTGACGTCATGTCTGGCCCGGCCGGCGGCGGCGGCGGCTGTGCGGCGGCAGTCGGCCAGCAGCGGCGGTGGCGTGAGGTGCGCGTCGAAGGCATCCCAGCCCAGCTCTGCACGCCACTCTGTCGACGTGGAACGCTGGTGAGTGTCAGACCCGTCTGACGGTGGCCGACGGCGCGCTTCCGAGAGGGTCGCGGAAAAGTGTTCCGTCTTCTTCGGTCGGACCCGTGCGAATTTGTACACGCTCCACATGCGTGTTATAAAAATGACTAACAGGCCCATTTTTTTCCCGTGTTTTTTTGTAAGGGTTGAGCATTAAAGGCATGGATAATTCCTCCTACGTTTTCCATTTTCCTGTGAGCGAGATTAAAATTGGGATCCCTTTTTTCCAACCTGGGAGTACGTCAATGTCAATGATACTTTGCTTTTCTTACATTCTATATTGCCGCAACGCCAGGATGTAAGTGGGGTAATATATGACTGCACACCAATTGGTTGCTTCCAGAAACCTTTGCATGATATACGTTGAAGCCAACTCTTAGGAGAATGTATGAATCAGCATATTTTGCAGCCTTCCACATATTTATCCAAAAAAATTCGACGGTGGTCGATTTTTTATTTCGTGTCCTGTGAGCGCGATCCGTAATTGAGAAGTAATAAAAAATGCGTTACTGAACGGTTAAAACGTATTTTATTAGTTCACGGAGATCGCTTTTATTCAGTGGAAAAGCCATGTTTTGTGATCTGCTCCTTCATGCATTTAGTCATGCATGTGAAGGATTATTGCAAGTTCCTGTAGTTATTTCATTTTTTGAAAAAGGCCTGGTAAGCGGAATATACAAGAGCATTGTGTCCCACGCGATGTCTGCATGACCCTTCGGTACATGACGACGTGCATTGACCTTGTATTGACCCTGTGACCCGAACGTAACAAAAAATATTGGGCTGAGGAGTCGTCTGATGCGATAATAGTCACAGAGATGTGTGAACGTTTGCTCCCCTAAGCTATGCTGATGGTCTTTTTCTTGTCACTCTGCGTGGGGTGGAGGCATTGCGCTGCTAAAGGATCGGGTCCGCACAGTGTTATTGATATCGGCTGGCCACGCATTGAAATTCACTGTTTTTCACCGCGGCGGTATAGTGCAAAAACCCAGCTGAAAAACGGATACCTCAGGTTTTCACTGCATGCATATTTCACGGCTCATTGAAAGTGGCCTGAATGTGAGGTGAACAATAAACGCATTATCTGAAAACTGAGCTGTCGCTAATTTGAGGCATGCGCGTAATTTTAGAACCGGTCTGTTGACGTTGTTTTAAATCGCATTTTTTGACACTTGTGAAGTGCTCCATTTGTTGGGCTCGGGCGAACTGGTGCTTGCTTGCCTACTCCGCACATGTCTCGCCCAATAATAGTCAAAATACGTGGTGTGTCTTGATATCCTCGTAATAGCATCTGTATTTAAATATAGCATCGGGCTTCAGCAGCACCTACTGCTCATTTCCTGCAAGCCGTTAGGGTACGGCTGCCGCCATGTAATCAGCTCTAACATCCCATTGACCTAAAGCGCAGCGTCCGCTCTTAGGTGCAAGAGCGCCGCTCTTTTGGAATGTCTGATGGATTGTCGGCCGCACATGGCTCAGACCCGTTGGGCGCGGCAGCCATTTCATAAATACTTGAACTTACGGCATGTGCTAGTGGAAGTTTATGCGCAGCGCACCTATATTGTCCTTCAGTGTCTCATAGTTCGCTGCGTTCAGTTATTTACAGTGCCCAGTCGAATGTGATGCGTGCTAGGATGCACGCCACGCTTGGTATGAAGCGATCCTTGCGATGTGGCTGTGGGATTCCTGCCTCCGCTCACACCCCTCACTGCACCCATGGGATACGGCTGCGGGATTCCTGCCTCCGCTCACACCCCTCACTGGACCCTTGCGATGTGGCTGTGGGGTTCCTGCCCCCACTCTCACCCTTCACTGGACCCTTGCGATGTGGCTGTGGGGCTCTTGCTCCCGCTCTCGCCCCTCACTGACCCTTGCGATGTGGCTGTGGGGTTCCTGCCCCCGCTCTCAACCCTCGCTGGACCCTTGCGATGTGGCTGTGGGATTCATGCTCCCGTTCTCACTCCTCACTGGACCTTTGGGATGTGGCTGTGGGGTTCCTGCCCCCGCTCTCAACCCTCACTGGACCCTTGCGATGTGGCTGTGGGGCTCTTGCTCCCGCTTTCGCCCCTCACTGGACCCTTGCGATGTGGCTGTGGGGTTCCTGCCCCCGCTCTCAACCCTCGCTGGACCCTTGCGATGTGGCTGTGGGGCTCTTGCTCCCGCTCTCGCCCCTCACTGGACCCTTGCGATGTGGCTGTGGGGTTCCTGCCCCCGCTCTCAACCCTCGCTGGACCCTTGCGATGTGGCTGTGGGATTCCTGTCCCCGCTCTCACTCTTCGCTGGATCTTGCTATGGCCCAGAGGCCTCGACACTGGCTTCAGCATATGTTTTGTTAAGCGGTATCATCATCGTTCGGTTTGGTCTGTGACTGCTTTTCATCGCAGGTTTTATATAAGAATGGTTCGTTAAGCCAACTGATAAAAGGACAAATGTGACGCCCCTTTAATGGAAGACATTATATGATAGACGTCGCCAATCAAGAAATCATCTGCAGACCAAATTACGACGGTCAGATGCGTGCGATTCCAAAAGAAGGGCGTAAACCAGTGACCGGAATGGTTCAAGCGCAATGACAGACGTTACGGGTGAGGCACGCTATTGTAGATCGCAGGTGATGATGCCCCGGAACTAGGCTAGTAATGAAACGCAATTACAGATAATAGGCCTGGGCCGGTTTTGAAATGAAATGCATGCATCACCAAGTGCCCCACTTTTGGATGATGTGATATGTATATTGCACACTCCGACCTTTTCCAACGAACTCTAATTTGTGAGACACGACGATGTGGCTTAGACGGAAACTTTTAGTACGCCTTTAATGCTAGGTTCATAACGTCTATTAGGTCACCGTCAGAATGCGTAGCGTGGCGTGGATTTACTTGAACTTGTCGAAGAACGTCACTAGGAATGAGGTGGAATCCCACCAAGGGTGTTCAACTTTATCTGTCGTAGGCATAGGCAGATATTTTATTTATCTGTCGTAGGCATTATGGTGAAAAACACGTTCTTAACCCCAATAAATTTAATGGAATACCCGGCACATTTCACTTTTTCTTCGCCTACAGGGCGATACGGCTTGGACTATTGCCACGACCGAAGACACCTCGGCCCCCGTAGGCCCTATATTAAAGCCAAAACAACAGCAGTGCATGAAAAAGTAAAATATGACGCACGAATCGAGAGGAAAGACTACAGCTTTCTGCGCATTACCTCCAAAACGGTTTTATGTGTGACTGATACCTCTAGGGCCGAATAAAGAACACTAGAAATGCTTTGACAATTCACAACACTTCCCGTGCATTCAACTGCATTTCGTTAAACAAACCACAAATGCGTTGTATGTGCCATCAATGGCACCGTGTCGTTTATAAAACTGACGTATGCATTACTACGCGGGTGGCTGTTCTCTTACAAACGTTTGTGATTCACGGAACTGTAGTAATGGAAGTACAGTAAGATCGATAGCGTTTATGACGCCAGAAATGCATTTTTCTGTAGAATGCTGTTGGCTACGAACTCTACGGAATTTTTCTCGCGGATGCCCGTCACATGTATGATGCTATCAACGTTGCATGTTGAACATTCTGCCTCGGCCATGCACGTACCTGGATGTCACGAATGGGAGAGAAATCCATGGAATTTCCGTGACACGGAATTGAAATCCAGAGATTAAGATTTGGGCATCCGTGGTTGGGATCCTCGTGCATGTCTGCCCGCGGGCGCACGCCAAGCCACAAGGATTTTCTTAGCGTATCGTCTTATTTCATGTCGTATGGAAACTCACCGTATCATGGACCGGTTTTAGCCCCAAGAAACGGGTTCAAGGATTCAGTTCGCATGGCCCCTCCACACGAGCCTCGCCTGACCCCTCCACACAAGCCTCGCATGACCCCTCCACACAAGCCTCGCATGACCCCTCCACACAAGCCTCGCATGACCCCTCCACACAAGCCTCGCATGACCCCTCCACACAAGCCTCGCCTGACCCCTCCACACGAGACTCGCATGACCCCTCCACACAAGCCTCGCATGACCCCTCCACACAAGCCTCGCATGACCCCTCCACACGAGCCGCGCATGATCCCTCCACACAAGCCTTGCCTGACCCCTCCACACAAGCCGACGGCACACAGTTTTTGTCGTATCACTAGCCGTTCGCTGCTGTCAGCAGCGGAGCCTTGTAGTTGTACGGGCACCTCATGCGCAGCGCAGCGCATATGCGCAGTCCCGAAGTCCGCAAGGTTTCACACTCATTCATTCCTACGTGCTCATCAATGGAGTCCGCCCGTCCAGTCCAGCCCCAGCCTAACCCAACAGCTGTGGACGCGGCGCTGAGCAGCATGTGTGGGCTTCCATCCGGCATCCGTCCGGTCACCGAATGGTACCCGGATGTCGCCCGGATGTCACCCGGATGACACCCGGATGACACCCGGATGACGCCCGAACGTCACCCGAATGGCCCAGCAACAGAGGACTGCATCCGAATGTGCTTCTGTGCTGCTGGTCGGGCGTGCGGAAGTTAAACCACGCTCGCCGGGGCTGGCGACCAGGGCCAATCACGCGTGTCATCCTCAGTCAGCAGCGGGTAGACCCGCGAGATCGAGCGCCGCGCTCAATGCCGCGTAATGCGCCGCGCAACAGGCCAGCAACCGAGCCCGGCCGGCTTGAATGAGGCGGCAGCAGAGTACGCCTGATGGCAATCAGCGCTCGCAGGGCCCTTGGCAACCAGCAGGATCTAGCCGTCGAATAACTGTCGCGTGTAGCGGTACGCCTCGCCGGAAAGGCCGTCCCAGAAGAGCTCGTGGTCACGACAGGCCTCCTGAGAGACGCCCTTCCCGGCAGCGGAACGCCGGGAGTGGCGTTGCGGCAAACCTGCTGTGGGAGACGCCTTTCCGGCTGCGGGCGGCGGTCGGTCGCGCCGAGCCTCCGACCGGACGACCGAGCGGGCGCTAGGACGATCTCCGGGTGATAGCCGGCAGCGGAGACGCGCGGCGGGATTCCCAAGGCGGAGGATGCCGACACGCTCCTGTTGATGGCATGGCAACCGCGTCTGGCGCCACGCGACTCTGACATCACGCGGCTCACGACCGGGATGGATGGTCCGCGCTGAAACGGCAGGCTGCTGTGCCGGCCGCGGCGCGGGCGATGGGGCCCGGACCCGTCAAACGGCGGCAGCTCCCCTCCCTCCCTACCCAGCTGAAGCCCGGCCCCACGGCGGTGGCAGACGATCCCTTAGCGTCGACGCCGTGGCGTGACGCGTGTGGCAACGCGGCCGAAACAACAGGCGCCGACTGCACCAGCCCGCGGTAAAACACAGACGTCTCGGCCATGTCGTTAAAGCGGCACACGGGCGGACGTTTCGAGGGAAAGCTGTTAGCATGATCAGCCGGCTGGTGGCCAGCTGTGGGCGACGGCGAAAGTGAAAATAGCCTCGGAATGCATTAGGTGCATCCCTGCAGATGCGGCGTTTGCATCCGGTTAGGAGCTGCTGGCGGCGGCGGATCATAGCTGGCGGCGATAGCCAACATAGCCTGGGGCGACACGTGGCCCAGAGCCAGAGGCGCGCGGTCGGGCGCCGGATTCGGAGGTCGCGGCGTCGCGTCGCCTGGAAACCGGAGACTGAGCCCCGGCGGCGAAAGTGCCCGGCGCGACTCTGGCTTTCCCCGCGCGCGTGTTGATACGGGGCATCAGCTGGCTGTCGTAGACGCATCCGCAGCCGAAGCAGATGCAGCACTCGGGCTCTCTCTCTCTCTCCCCTCCTCTCTCCCTCCCTCTCTCTCTCTCTTCTCTCTCTCTCTCTCCCTCTCTCCCTCCTTTCTCTCTCTCTCTCTCTCTCTCTCTCTCTCTCTTCTCTCTCTCTCTCTCTCTCTCTCTCTCTCTCTCTCTCTCTCTCTCTCTCTCCCTCTCTTTCGTTCGCTCGCTTCCTCCCTCCCTCCATCCCTCTCTCTCTCCCTCTCTCTCTTTTTCTCCCTCCCTCTCTTTCTCCCTCTCCCTCTCTTCCCTCCCTCCCAATCACCCTCTCCCTCGTGACACGTGTAACGCATGGGAGCAAGATGGATCCAGCCCTAGCGCTGCTTGTGCCGTGCCGGATCATCTCATGCACCGGTCTCACTTCTCGAAGCTCTACACGAATGAGGAGACACAGCTGCAGCTGGCAAACACGACATCGAAGCGCTGTGCACGACAGCCTCTGCTCTCGTCACGGAGAGAGAGAAAGTGTGCTCTGAGCTTCTAACGCACGCCAGCCAGGCTACCATATATGGCCCCATGCCACAAGCTGTGTTCGCGTCATTGGGCGCGGGTCATTGGAAAACGTTCCACGAATGGATCTCTTGGCGTCTAGGCTTACGGTCAAGAGCTTACCCGAACGGGCCCAACAATTTTGGGGACTGTTAGTGACATAACGAAAGTGACCTGGTGACCAGGCTGAAATGCTGTACGTTTCGTTAGTCGCAGTTGTTTGTGTTTTGGTTGTTCAGAATTGATCGTGCCGCTTAGGCGAAGGGTCAAAGAGCATCATTTTCGCCTCATACAACCGATTCCGGTTTCGATTTCAAAGTCATGTCAGGCGATGTCATGTCATGTTATGTCATGCCAAACATCCAGGAGTGCAACAACACTAAAGGTTCTGGTGATGACGCAGACAACTGCAACACCAACCGTCTGGAGTCTCGGACCACGGTCTGAAGAGCTCGTACACACGTTGTGGGCATGGGAACGTCACGCCGTTGACTCAGCACAGGTTTTGACGTAAGGCTTACTGAAAACAGGTTTGACCAGAGGTAATCCACGCATTCCTGTTTTTCACAAAGTATGAACGAATTAGGCTAGAAACCGTTCGTATCGCGGTAATGTTGCAAAAATACGGTATAAAATACGGCACAATAACGCAACACATTGCTGTGCTGTACAATCCAGCAGTTAACTGTACTGTAATAATCATTGCAGCAATATATCATCGTAACTGTAGCAATGCAATTACTGTTTGCTCTGCAGGCCTGTGCATAGACTGAGGGGCTCATTCAGGATCCTAGTCGCAGGTAATGGCGGCCAGCGCTGTCAGCACACGGCCTGGTCAACACGACCTGGTCAGTGCGCTCACTGGCGCGTTTCATTCCCCGAACTGTCTCCAACACATGGTCCGCGCTGGTGGGCAGCTTCTGAGCCGCCGAGGTGATTTGTGCTGCCAGTAAGGAGTTGCGGCGCACCTGCGTTCGTTCCCTCCACCGTGACGTTTTTTTTTAGAGGCGCTCGGTGGGTTGGATCGTGGTGTCCATCACCTCCTGCCTCGACGCGTGCACAAACTTGACGTGGTTGACGAGCTCGTGCGATGGATAAACGTGTCCTCCGTCGTCAGCAAAAGCCTGTCTGGGATGTATGAGACTTTTGAATCGCGGTGTGCGTGGCTGGCTCTCCGATAACGTCGCAAGGGCCTTGGCAAAGAATGTATGACACTGCGCCCTCGCCACGGCTTGTGACAAAGGGTTGCTATTCGCAGGCCATTCCGAGAAGTCTAACAGCTGACGCATTGATCAAGCTGGACTTATGACACATCGATATCGGTCGACGCTAGAAGACAGCCAACGCTTTGTCTTGTTGATCTCTTCCGGGAAACAAAATATCTTTTGTCATTTCTGAATTAAAGAAGTACCATTGTAAGATCCTCATCTAAGCCAGAAATGCGGAGTGTTATTTCGTCTCTTCCACTTGTGGATGCTTCTTGAATCGATCCTTCGCAATCACAACCGCTGTACGATCACGCGAAGTCCCTGCGGCGCAGTATCCCCGCTCGCTTACACCACTGCCCCCACTCCCCTCCCTCTCCCGGCGTCATATCGCGTGCAGGGGGCGGCGCCGACAGCGGATAATTGAGGGACGGGAACGGATAGAATGTGCTTGACGTGCACTGTTTCCACGCAACACAAAAGCCACAGCGCTCTAAATCCAGCTCCACCCACGACGAGGCACGTTCGTCCGGCGCCGTCGCGGCTGATCACGTGACCTGCGGCGGCGGGTCGGCGCGGTGCGCACCTGGCCGGCGCCCGGCCCGGCCGCGGCGCCCCCGGCGCCCGGCTGACCCACATCGCCCAGGTCCGTCCGCGTCTCCCGGCGGAATGTGGGCTGCCCGGCGCCGCGCCCGGCTCGCTCTCGACCACGCGTCGGCCGGGGTAACTGCGTGGTCGCAGCCACCCGCCGCCGCCGCCGTTGCCGGCTCGCGTGGCTGCCGCGCAGTTCAGTGTTAGGGCTCTCGTTCTTCGTCTACGGTCTCGTTCGGTCGTTGCGCGCTGTCTCCGCCAGTGACTCAGCAAAAAGGGAGCTACAGGATACATTGGCGCTCCCAGCTCGGGGCCTCAGCCAACGCGCTTGCTGAGGCATTGCCTAGGCCTCAGGCTTTCAAACTTGTACTAGATCCAGTCTGCCGTGAGCTTGTAATGTACTGGTGTTTGTTTTGATACGTTTGGCACAGTTGTGTCATCTTCGTACGGGAGAAAGTTATACCTTTCGATGTTATTTCGGCCTGCTTGTAAACACGCAAAGCAAAGTAAAAACTAAATTCTAAACTTGCTCTCGCATATCACTCTGTGAGCACCAGATACCGCATTCTCATCAGCACCACCTTGTGTCGTCTTCTGTAACTGTATTGCCAGCGGCCATCACTGGAGGCCTCTACCGGCGCCGCGAGCTCCACGCGGTGAAACCGGTGCGGCCGCCGATTTAGGCGCAGTATCTCCCGACCTCATCTGGGACCGGCTGTGCGTCGGTTTAGCCGACGTGACGTCACCTCGCTCTCAGCGGGAGAGAGAGGGAGCGAGAGAGGGAGAGAGAGGGGGAGGAAAAGAGAGAGAGAAAGAGAGAGAGAGAGAGAGAGAGAGAGAGAGAGAGAGAGAGAGAGAGAGAGAGAGAGAGAGAGAGAGAGAGAGAGAGAGAGGCGGGGAGACTGGCCGACCGGCGCGTGCGTCGCAGGTACGCGCCTCTGCCCCGCCGCAGCCTGATTTCGCTGGCTACTCGTGGGCCTTTGGCGGATGCGCTGGGTGGTCCAGCGCGGCACGCTGCGTTACCTCCCAGCCTGCGCCGTCCGGAGCGGTGCTGACAGGCCGTGGGTCGTTCAGCGGTGACTCCCCGCGTCCTCTTGTGGTGCCCATTCAGGCGGGCGCGCCACGTGCGTGTACAGTGACGAGATCGTCACTAGGGGACTGAGAAGGCAATGCAATCGTAGCAGTATGACCTGTTTTTGCCGTATTGCGCAACTCTACTATGGCTTTCTCCGAGTTGGTAAAAATATTTTGTTTTAAAGTGAGATGTGAGGGAAATTTTTTTCGGCCTTCATTGTGTACATCAGCAGCTGAGAAACGGTTCCACAGTTCCGCAATACGAATGTTTTTGCATACACCTGGTCCAGACAGCGCACAACCGTAGTGCACAGCGTAGCTACAGTGAGCTATTACAGCTCGCAGTGAGTCTAAGGAGTCGCGTAATATCCGTGCTGCACGAACGCTGCCCATGAGCTTTGTTTTCTGCGTCGTCTCTGAGGCACCGGCTGGGGGCTATCAGCCTGACGGCACATGTGTGGCTCGTGGTGTTCGACCGGGTCACTTACAACACTGCCGTGCGTTTCAGCGCGGCCGCTGCTCCGCACACCTGAGACTGCGCCCGTGCCGCCGCTCCTGCCAACGCTGAAGTTCCACCCGGAGGCCCTGCCGCCGCTGCCGGACATGATGGAGAACCATCCGCCGGTGGGTGATGATGCCGACGGCGGCCAGCACACGGCCACGCTAACGTATGAGCAGGTGCGCCGGCTGCACGGCGTACTGGACGAGGTGCTGCCCATCCACGGTCGCGGCAACTTCCCCACGCTGGAGGTGAAGCTGAAGGACCTGGTGCGCGTGGTGCAGGCGCGCCTGGAGGCCGACGGCGTGGTCGTCAGGAGCGTGCGACTGAACGGTGGAGCTGCGAGCCACGTGCTGGCCTCTGATGACGGCCAGGCGTACAACGACCTGGATCTCATCTTCCTGGTGGACCTGCAGACGCAGAAGGACTTTGAGCGGGTGAAGACGGCCGTGCTGCAGTCGCTGCTGGACTTCCTGCCGCAGGGCGTGACCAAGACGCGCATCAGCTCGTGCAGCATGAAGGAGGGCTACGTGCACAAGATGGTGAAGGTGAATGACGGAGATCGGTGGTCGCTCATCTCGCTGTCTAACAACGGCGGCCGCAATGTGGAGCTCAAGTTCGTCGACACGATGAAGCGCAAGTTCGAGTTCTCGGTGGACTCCTTCCAAATCCTGCTTGACTCCATTATGCGCTTCTACCAGTGCGCCGAGCAGAGGATGCTCTCGGAGAACTTTTACCCGACGGTGGCGGGCGTCAGCGTGTACGGCGACTTCCAGGAGGCGCTGTACCACCTGCAGAAGAAGCTGATCGCCACGCGTCGGCCGGAGGAAATCCGCGGCGGCGGCCTGCTGAAGTACTGCAACCTCCTGGTCAAGGACTTCCGGCCGTGCCAGCCGGAGAGCATCAAGACGCTGGAGCGCTACATGTGCTCGCGCTTCTTCATCGACTTCCCTGACGTCATGCAGCAGCGCAACAAGCTGGAGACGTACCTGACCAACCACTTCGTCGGCACGGACGAGCACCTGAAGTACGCCTACCTGATGGTGCTGCACAAGGTGGTGGCCGACTCGACGGTCTGTCTGATGAGCCACGAGCGACGGCAGACGCTGAGCCTGATCGAGGAGCTCGCCTTCCAGGTGTACCTGCAGCAGCAGCAGCAGCAGCAGGTGATGATGATCCAGAAGCACTTCGACACCCAGCTCCCGGGCAGCGCGGCCGTGATTCTCGCGCCGTACTATCCGGCTCAGCCGTGCCCATGCACCTGCAGCTGGCTCAACTGCGCCTAGCGGGCGCCGCCGCCGCTGCCGCCCGCCGCCGCTCCAGTGATATTCGGGCGCCGCGGGCGGCCCGGGCGGCGGTGGGTCCCCTCCTGTCCCTCTGCCGCGTGCTCTCTCCCTCCTGACGCCGTCTTTCCCGTCCTTCCCGGTGGAGTGCCATCCCCTCATGCTGCCAGGCTGGAGCTTCGCGTGAACCGGCGACGAACGCTGGGCGGTCAGCGAGCTGCTGCTGTCGATTGATGCTGGAATACCAGAAGGTGTGACGCCGGAGTACCAGCGCCGTGTGAGGCCGTAGTATCAGCGCCGTGTGACGCCGGAGTACCAGCGCCATGCGACGCCGGAGTACCAGCGCCATGTGACGCCGGAGTACCAGCGCCGTGTGACGTCATCGTGACGTCACGATCTCCACGCCCGGCAGGCCGCTGCTCCGAACAGGTGAGTCGCATTTCCCGGCTCCTTTCTCGCCTCCCGCTGTGACAAACCCGACTCCAGTGCCGAGCAAGGAAGAGAGCAAGAGCCAAAACGCAGAGCGAAGGAGTCGAGGAGGGGAAGCAGGAGAGAAGGATATGGAGATGGAGGGAGGATTGATAAGAGAGGGTATACAAGCGCAACGGAGGGTGGGAAAACGACATGGAGAGAGCCGGAGGACGGGACAGAGGGAGTGGGAAAAGGAGATGTGAGAGAACTGGACAGTGATGAGCGACGGGGAAGAGAACGGAGCGAGAGAGAGCAGCGTAGGCCACTGCGCGTGGCCGATCAATTATGCCGGTGCCCGGCTGGGTCTTGTTTTGCTGCCGCACGCGCGGCGGGAATCCCAGGGCGTCTGGGTTCGTGGAAGGGCCTAGCTGCTGGACTAGAAATAATGGGTCGGGTTCGTAGAAGGGCCTAGCTGCTGGACTAGAAACGATGGTTGGTGCGCGGCCGTTGTACGAGCGCGGCGGAGATGCGACCCGATTGACGGGTTCAGAGGCTGGCTGACACCACGGGCCATTCATGGGCGGATCTGAGTCTGGCTGACATCACTGGCTACATCACTGGCTGATTCTGGAGCTGATGGTCATCACGGGCCCCGTGGCAGCCGGGAGACGGGGGAGGGGGAGGGGGCAACGACAGCTGGTGGACGAAGACTGGGCAGAGAACCGTCTATTAGTCACGCCTGCGGACGGACCACAGGGGATGATCCCCTGTCTGCGGTGTCGGTAGCTGTTCTTGGCCGTAGTAGATCCCCGTTCGGACATGCATCCACTACCGGGAACCGCACTCTCCCTGATAGAGCCATTCATCAACGACGATACCAGGAACGAAAGCACCGTCGAAAAGGCGTTCACTAACTGGGTGAAATCGTTCAGTTAAACATAGAGTACCGGAGACTAGGCTGGGGTTTTCTGTAATTGAGTTTGATGGAAAGCATTTGGCCGGTCTCGCCTTTTTTAAGGTCCCCTGGTGTCGTGCTGGGCGCAGCATCCAACTAAGAAATTCTTAAGAGGCATGCCTAGTATTTATACAATTATACTTTTACCAGTCGACTATGCGGGAAACCTCTTTTTGGCGCCTGACTGACGTTCAAGGCTGTCTGCCGTGCTCAAGGTGACAGAGGCCTCGAGAGGAGGGTGCTGTCGCCTGCCACCCACTCAGTCAGATAATCGGTCTGCGCATGCGTGGGCAGAAACGGGGTCAGTGGGTCAGCTGTGGACGGCCAGCACAGGACACGCTGCGTGCGCAGATATCTGGGCTTCCCCGACACCTTTAACGGCGGAAGACTTCTTGGAGTTTTGTTCTATAGCGTTAGCATTTTTAGATCATTTTAGCCTCAGCTTGGGTCGTGGACCGTTACGTGGACTTCCAGTAGGGTAGGTGCGGTGTCCCGATGTTCCATACTTCGACCACCCGGAGACTAGACCATGCTTTCGTGTCGCCATCTGTGGTGCAGACTGGCGTGGACTTAGCCGCTCCTCGTGGATTCGCAGGGGCGTCAATGGGGCATCGCCGCCAGTCGTGGACTGGATGGCCTGCCAGCTGGCGATGAAGGATTTGGCTCAGCGCCAACTTCAGGTTCTGCGGTGCTTTATGTCGATAAAGCGCTTGGGGACGGGACGCGATAAAAGGATTAACTCTTGTGCCGTATAGGGACGGTCAAGGGCAGGTCCAAGGACGCGGAGGGTGGGGGTGGGGGTGGGGGAGGGGGGGGGGGGGGGTGGAGGGTGGAGGGTGAAGGGTGGAGGGTGAAGGGTGTTGAGGGACGGCCTTCTTGTGAGAACCGTCCCCCAAAAGCCGTTTTACCCTGGATGACAGCTCAGGAGGCGGTCGTTCAACGCATGAATTTCAAACCAAATGCGTCTCGTAAAATGAGGTTAAGCTGGATTTATGTCGGACACCGATTCAAAATCCGTCGTGGCTAATAATCTGCAAGAAACATTTAACGTTTTTCCAGGCGAGGTGTTAAATGTCTTAGCATATATATATATATATATATATATATATATATATATATATATATATATATATATATATATATGGCTTAGGACTCACGAGCTCCCAGTGACAGGCGCAGGATTTGCGCATGGTTGGGAACGTGCGAACCTCACTAATGCCGTGGAGCCCGTTTTCCTCTATGGGGAGGCGAGTTGCAAAAAGTGGCCTCGGTTGGTACAACGGCTACTGGAAGGAATGTCAGCCCGGTGAAAATGATTAAGAATTAGTTCGTCACGTCACACGGGCCAATGAGACTGAGAGGTGGCGGCTTTGATGGGCCAGAGGAGGGGGTCAGGACCCTCCAGGACGGCGCTCAGCCGATGTTGCATGGCATGCATTACATCCATTGCAAGTTGTACAGTTGTGCATTTTCAAAGGCATGGAGCATCTTCATATCATTTTTCGTATTCGCTGCAAGGAGATTGCGTGCACACTTTTCGTTTATTGCAGTCTTTTCTGCGGGGCTGCAATTCGGGTAATCCGAATGGCAAATAAGGCATCGCACAACACCGGTTCGGCATGGAGAATCCAGCATATACCTTGCAGAATTTCGGTGTGGGCACGCAGAAAGAATAGCTGCCCAGTCACGCATTAATGCAGCGAACAGCCGCATAGCGATGTCCTTTGGGAATGGCTGGGCTTACGTCGTCATCGCCTAATCAGATATTTACGTCGGAGAGTGGCGAAACCACCATGGAACGAATGCCGGAAGCCAGGTTAAGTTCGCACCGACAGGAAGAGCTCACACTGCCAACATAGAATACAAGCTCTTCGGGCATGTGCTAACATAGAATATAAGGCTCTTCATGCGTGTGCCAACATAGAATATAAGCCCTTCAGGCATGTGCCAACATATAATATAAGCTCTTCAGGCATGTGCCAACATAGAATATAAGCTCTTTATGTATGTGGTTCATGTGTTTAGTTAATAGTGGTGCTTTGTTTATCAGCGTAGTCCGTTTGGAAGCTACCACAGTCTGAAATTATTTTTAAAACGATATAAACGCGACACACACAAACATAGGGGATCCGTTTGCTCCTCTGTGCGAAATGTCCACAAATGGGTGCGTGAAACACTGAATGACAGCGCTGGCGGGCATCAATGAGATCCGTCAGAAAATGGTCGTGGAGCTATGGCCAGATATATTTTGTGGGAGGTTTTAAGTCGTCGTCACAGAAGATGTTTGTCATTCGCGATCTTAGGGCTGCATTTTTTGGAACTGCCGTTTCATTTTCAGTTTATTGAAACCCTGTATTTCTTTCTGATCCTCGTCAGTTATATGACATTACAATATTTACGCTCAAAGAACACACATTGAAATACGACGGTGAAAGGAGGCCCTCTAAAACACACTACATAACCAATAAAGCTGCTGACACAGTAAAAGTCGCGCCGGTTTTAGAAGCCGAACAGATGCCGCGTCTGTTGATTCGGCGGACAACAGGTGCTCACAGCACGGTAACCAAAGACACGCTCTGTCGCCTCAGTGTCCGCTCCGGGCGCGATCCGGGCGCGAAACCTATCTTCTAATCTATCTCTACACACATCTCTAAAAAAGCTACCTCTGAACTATTAAAAAATCTGGCGCGTCCAGCTTACCCTGGCAGACCCAGCGCCAGATAAGACGTTCTTCTTCACTTAGCTATTAGTTAGCTGTATAGCATGATAATGCGCAGTCGCACTGCCGGAGCCTGGATATCGCCTGATTCTGGTCAACAGAACCTGTGCTGAATAATCGCTGTGCTCTTGCAAAGGTGGGTGTCTGCTACGTTGGAGTTGTCCACTGTAGAACAGGTCTTGTTCCAAGTGCGGGACTGGACCGGGTTACTTGCAGGTCTCAGACCCGGTGACTTGCAGGACCCGCGGTGGCGGTCGTAACGGTATCATGGATCACGTTTGTGCACAGCAGGTGTGTAAGGCTATCAGCGGCCAAGTCACGTGTCATGAGCTGCTGGAAGGGAAGTTCGCGTTCCGAAACAAGGTTCATGTAGCGAGGTGAAGTCGATTCACAAGAATTCCTGCTAGGACAATTATACCAGAGGGTGGCTTTTTTGTAGAACCGGTTTTTAACCCGTTGATGTTACCATCGTGTTCGTCCGTGACCTCTGTGGCTGGGGAGATGAGCCACTGGCCTTATGCGGCGATAGCCTATTCCTTTTAACAACGCCAGCCAAGGACATCTTTTATTCCTATTCACTCATATTTGCTGTGCCAATTCTTCCCAGCGTTGCGTCTTAGGCCGATTTTGCTATCACGTCACGTTGGAAGCCAAGGCCGCCCATTCTTTATCCAGCCGCCAGCCGTGAAAAGCAGCCGGGATTTTACATATCTTAGCTCTACGTAAAAGCATACGCCGTCATCCGCTACAGAAGCTGCGGCTCCTTTTGGCGGCGATGAAATTACGGAATGCCTTTTTGGCTCTTACCTTTTGTCATTCGAATTGGCAATTATAAGTTTTAAGTCATGTGTAAAGCAACAATAGCAGTTTATGATTACGCACGGCCAAGGGTGAACGTCCCTTACTGCGTTTAACTGTTTTTTGGCTATCTTTAGAGGCAAATCCCGACTTTTAATTGACTTGCGTTCAAGCTCTCGTCGAAATAAAGCAAAGTGAGCTCGTCCGCAGGTCACCGAGTTACGCTATGATGTTAGAGCAGTCATGGATCGCCGACCTCAGCCAAGGAACAGAGGTCCGGCTAGACGTCCAATATTTCGATGCAAATAACAAAGCAAACAAAATAACAAAAAAGTAACAAGTAACAAACAAGTGAATTAGTAACAGGTAAATAAATAGCAAGTGACAAAACAAAATGAAGGGTTTTGAGGGATGCGTCACCGACTTGGCGCATACTGTATGCGTAAAAAATGCATAAACTTTACGCATTCGGGGGCGATTCAATCGCCACCGAAAGACGTGGACGGATTGGTTGTTACATTTCGCGAGATGATTGCAGTTATATAT